ATGCTAAATTAAACTGTTTAAAGCCTCATCCATGTTAGCTATTCCAGATATCTTATGATGTCTATCTTTTGCCAAAAACAACTTTTCCAGTTGTTAGCATGGGTGGCTAACATGTGTTATAAACAAGTGGTGTGCTCCTTAGGATCTGTACCCTTGGAGTAGGTTCATCCTAACCCAAGGCTCAGTGATTCCTGTGGACAATAACTCTTAAATTTGTAACTTTCAAGTGCTCCTTTGATGCCTACATACTGTCAGTTTGGCTCCTTCCATAAAAGAGATGTGAAAATGTGATTAAACATACAAGAATCATATTGGGAGAAATCTTTATGGAGGATAAAGAAGGAATAGAAGTAATCAGGGAAACCTTCAGACCATGATGCGTGTCTGATACCTGTAAGAGGAGAGAGAGAACAGGTGGGGTAGGAAGAACCTCAGACTGTAGCACAGTCCTGAGATAGTTTCTGGCAGGCTGATGGGGAGTTCCTGAGCAAAAGGTGCTCACTAAGGGAGTGTCCTTTATGGAAGGGGAAATGGGCTCTCTTTAGTAGGCAGCCCTAGGGGGAAGCATGGCCTCTGAGGGGCGAAACGGAGAGCAGTGGGCACTATTGGGCGGTTATGTTCCCCATAGCAGGTTTTTAAAATCTGAGTGGCATACCTCTGTGGCTGGCAATTCATGCCACCTATTTTTAAATATGCATTAAAGATAGTTTTCCTTTGCTAATTTGCCTGTTTGGCTATATTTTATATCTCAGCTTATGGCAACATCACTTCCCTGGCTATCCAGAAACCTGGAATCATGGTAGTCTTTCCCCTTTCCTCACATCCTTCAACATTAAATCTCATTGATGTTACCTCATAATATGTTTTCTACCCCTCACCACCTGTTTTCAGCATCAACCTTGATGCAGGTCTGTATTATTTCTTCCCCTGATTATTTTAACTGCCTTCTAACTGGCTGCCCCCACCCTGGGCTAGCTCCGTTTCTTTATCCTCTCTAGTTTTCTCCATAGCCTGCATGATCTTTTAAAAAATTCAAATCTTGTCATATTCACCTTCTGCTTAAAATTATTCAGTGTCTTATTATTTTTATAGGATAAAGGCACGACTTCTTAGTGTGTCATAACATGTTTTCTCTCATGCTACTACCACAACTTATTGTACTTTCTAGTTCTCAGAGTTTTCCAAATTGAAAAATTGGTGAAGAGTCTTTTTGCCAGAGGGCTTTTGGAATGTTGTTTCCCATGTATGGCATGTATTTTCCTCTCTTGTTTGACTCACACACTCATAATCATCAAGGCTCTGGTCATTTTTTCTTGAGTTCTCTGAGGCATGGAACTTTCTATTCGAGTTAATCAGTTAAGTCTCTATTATAGCACTTACATGCTGCTCATTTTTGTATTCATAGTGCCCAATTACTCAATAAATTAGTGAATTAATTAATTAAGTTTACCTGGCTAGACTTAAAATTTGCTCATTGGTGATGATCTTGTCTTTCTGGTCACCAGTAGGTTGAGTCTTTTCAGGACCAAGTATAATATATTACTTAGTGATGTCACATGAAAACCTTTCACAAGAATCTCCATAAATCTTTATAGAGTTGGATTAATAGCTTTTAGAAGCAACATTTCCTTAACATACAAGGAAGAAAGTTCATTTGAGTAATTCTACTGCTATTTAAGAAATATCAAACTACAGTCTGAAGCAATATGTTTAATATACCAGTTACAGTACCATAGCACATACAATTACTAAAGTGAGAATTACTCATCAACACAGTTTACATGTTTTAAAAGTAACCTGAATAAATATTATATATGCTAAGTAAGACTAATAAATTTTCCACATATTGAATAAAAATAAATATAACAATCTGTCCTAGATGTCTTCAAAAGTCAGGTTTAAATGTCAAGTTTGCATGTCAATTATTGCCCTTAGGGGAGATCTGGTACTACTTTAAAAACTCACAAATTCATACTTGGCTTCTAGACCCAATGCTGTTGCCTTAGTTCAGACTCTTTTATCTTTTGTCTAGATTCTTGCATCAGTCTTTTAATTAGCTTCTAATTTACCCTTCAGCAGCTGCTGCTGCCAGAGGTAAGTTTTTAATTATCAAATTTGATCATGTTATTTCTTATTTCCTATTCTAACATCTTTACTGGCTCCTCCTCAACTTATAGAACAAAGGTCAGCCTCGTCTGCAAATGAAAATCTGATCTCAACCTGTTTTTTTAGGCTTATTTTCTACAACACCCCAACTTGCACCAGTTCCCTAGATATCTGATGGGTCTCCCAGCCTTCTTCCAGGCTTGGTGGATGTTTTCTCTTCTTTGACTTTGCCTCCTCCCTTATGTGCCTGACATCTTCCTCATCCCCCCAACTTAGTTCAGATGTCTCCTTGAGAATGCTTCTAATCTGACCAACCAGTGATGTTTACCAGAGCCCTTTAGAAATATTTCTTTATTGCATTTCACTGGCATTTGTTTGTTTGTCTCTTCCCACTGTGACCCCGGCAACAAATTTTGAGTACAACTAAAATTTATTTCCAATTGCATCCTGAGGAGTCTCAGTAAAAGAAGAATTTTTTCTTCTTAAATATAGTAATATTTGATCCACTTGATACTAATCTGAAAATATCTTTGACATCTTTTTTCTTTTGAATACCTAGATATTTCTTAAGAAGCAATGACATTCATCTTTGAATCGAAGATTTAACTGAATGACAGTCTCTTTCATTTAGTTGAGGGATTTTATAAAAATTTTGCTGACGGGTTTTTGTGACAGCCCTCTAATGGAAGTTCAAATTCACTTGTCATAGCTAGTAAGATTTTTTTTGGTGTATTTCTGTGATCTGACCTTTCCATTTATTATTGTTATTATTGACCTTAAAAGTATAAAAGAGAAAAATACAGACAGAGCCTCTGTATTTGAAGACTTCTGGCAATTTAGCCTTGGAAGTCAATTCTCTGTTGAATTTTCCTCTTAAGAAAATCATCATCATAATGTGGCAGAATCTTGCTAATTTTCACTTTATAATTAATTCTCAGGAGAACAAGACCACTTGGTAAATTTTATTCACTATCAGCAAAAATTTAATAGCAGTAATGGTGTTAAGACTTTTTTATATCAAAAAGTATTAAAGTAGATAAACTCAAATAGCAACAAAATTGTAATACTGTCTTGATTATGTTTTATTTATAATATATTTTAATATTTATGTTTCAATGTTAAATTCATTAATAAAATAATACTCTAAGATTATAGTAGATAGCTTTTATCTAATGGTATAGATATCAGGAGTTTTCTGCTTTTTATAGAAAAAGCTACTATTTATCATTTTGTGTAACATTATCTACTTTTAGATATTTGTCCTCTAGCCTTAGTGGTAGGTAATAAGGGAGAATGTGCATGGGAAAATTATTCTTTTTAAATGCAAATTAAATTTTATGGTATGATAATACTATTAACTTTTTGAGGCAATTCCTCTTCAAATCATAACTAAAAAACAAAGAATATCTACCTATTTTTTAATCTGCTGAAGATCTAATCCCATATTCAGCAAATAACCATTGTGCACTTTGAGGGGCATGTTCTTGGTATGCCATGTTTGGAGTGTAGATTTCTCACTTTTACTACAATAAGGCTACTTTAGGGATACCATTAGAATAGTGCAGGTTCTTTTTCTTTGCTGCTCTCTTTATTTTTTTATTTTTATTTTTAAAAGGCCCTTGTTTTCTCTTTAACAAACTTCCACACTCATAGTCACTCTCAAGTAATGTTTTTTTTAAAAATTTTATTTATTTATTTTTAGAGAGGGAAGGGAGGGAGAAAGAGAGAGAGAGAGAAACATCAATGTGCAATTGCTGGGGGCCGTGGCCTGCAACCCAGGCATGTGCCCTGACTGGGAATTGAACCTGCGTTGCTTTGGTTCACAGCCCATGATCAATCCACTTAGCTATGCCAGCCAGAGCTTGCTGCTCTCTTTATTAGATTCCAGTTCAGAGGTTCTTGTCCTCAACCTTGAAATGGGTGGTGATATTGTTAAAACTTAATATCAAACATGTCTTTTGGCTTAACCAAATAATTACTATTAAAATGATTACCTCAAAATCTTTAGAAGTTAATACTGACAAACAGCAGTCAAAGTTTTAAGGTGGAAATAATTGCATGTGTTTATATATTTGCTTTTATATCTCACATACCTAGACAAATTATTTTAAGCAGCTAAGTTTAGTATATTCTGGTTTCTTGGTGTAAATTATGCTAATTTTTATGAGTGTTACTTCTTATGGAATGACTGTGGTATTCATATAGTATTTAAATGCAAAAGAATATTGATATAAAATATCAATTAAATTTTGTTCAACATGATAATATTCTCTATATAATATGTGGTCATTGTAGGTGATAACTAATTTTGAATTACCATATATAATGGATAGAATTGTGCTCTTTTAGAATGAATATGCAATTAATAGTGGTTATTGTTGTTTCATGAAATCTCTGAAGATATTTTATTTTAGGGTATAAGTAATTTTCATTTACAATAGTATATTCACATATATATTTCAAATTTCATAGCCTTATAAAGGTAAAGATGTGGTCATTCCTAAAAAGAAATAACTAGTTCTTTATTTAGAAAGCAGTCAGAAAACAGGAATTATTTGTATTATGTTGTAGTTTTTGGAACAAAAACACTAATCTGGTTGACTAACCTTTGAAATAAAATGCAAAGTCAGAGATGTCAGTTTGTAGCAGTAAATATTCACTGGTAAAGTTTTTATATTAAAGATTGGAACTTTAGGAGATGCTCCTGGGATTTAGTGTACTCTAATATCTATTAATCCCTGATACTTTAGGTGACTTGTCAAAGAAGTGCTGCATTTACAAGGAGCTTGCAAGGAGGCCCAGGAGGGCATATTCAGCTAAAGGTCAAGGAAGCAATTAATGTTCTCTGCTTTTCCCTAAAGAACTTTCACAGCAAACATTGTCCTTCCCCCAACTCCATCTTAGTAACGCAAGTGAATATAATGAAATGAAAGTTAAAGTTCAAATAAAACATACTACTAATTGTATTCAGTTCTTAGAGCTCTTCCAATGTGAATACATTCCGTTGTTTAAGGAGACAGATAGTGAAATATATTAGAAAAGGGGGATCTTGCTGAAGAATATCAATTTTTCATCTCTGGGTTCTCTGCATCTTTACCAAGAATCAGTGAGTATTTGTGGTGCTGATAGAGTGGGGTGGTAGATTTGGCCCGTCCTGTGGTGTGTAGTGAAGTTGGAGTTCTTTGGGGGAATACTTGATTTTGTATGGATCCTAAGCAGAACTCTATTAGGGGATCACAGAATTTAAGACAGGAAATTATCTATGAATTTCACAGGCTGACACAGGGCTCTTTTTTTCTGTTTCATTGTGCTTTCTTTCACTTCTGTTTTAACAATTTTCAGATAGCATTGTAATTGTCCATTTGCATGCTTCTCTCTGCACATCTGTAAACTTCACCAGCATGGGGGATGTATCCTTGAGTTTTTTAAATTCTGAGTCACTAGAAAGTGTGTAGTGTTTAGTAAGTACTTAGTGAATAGTTGTTGAATGAATAAATGAATGAATTTCTTAGCCTGTGATTTGGGAGACATCTCTTCTGCCTGCTGATGAATCTTACTTTCCATTCATTTACTTCCCTTCCAAAGCCTGGTATCTCTCCTTCTTTCTCCACTACTGACTTCCTTTTGTCTGCTTTTTTAAACTTTCTCTTCTACATTTCCTTAGCACATTATATCTCTGTGGTAGCACTTCTCCACATGATGGAATGCAGTTATTTTACAGTATCATAGAAATTCAGTTGTACAGTGGTCCCAGTCCAGCAAGACCAAACATCAATCTGATGTATCCTTAATATCTTGAAAGAATGGTCTTCTGGTTTCTGTATGATAGTTTATGGGGACTAGTTGCTTACTAACTTCTGGGATGAGCCACTGTATCTTTGAAAAGGTGTGATTTTTTTAGAAAAGTGTTACAAATATGCTTTATTGTAATTTTCACATTGGGTTCAGATTCTGCTTTCTGGGAACACATACTACACAAACCACACACACACACACACACACACACACACACACACACACACACACACAATTATCTCTTCCATTTACTGCTCCTTCAAATTTGTGAAAACTCTTCCGGTCCCTCGGATTGTTTCTTCTTTGTGATAAAAATGCTGATGTCCTGAAACTGTGCTCATATGTCTGAGTGACAAGATTTGTCATCTCCCAGTTGCTCCAATTTCTCAGTGGCCCTCTCAAATGGGGCTTTCCAAAATGTATATGGGGCTACAAATGTGATCTGACCACGTTCAAACAGAAGAGCCATTACCTCCCTTGTTTAAAATTATATTGTTAATAAAGCCTGGGTATATTACCTTTTTTGGATAATTGTATTTTACTTTCGACTCATATTGAGCTTGTGGCTCCAAATAATTAAGTCTGAATGTAGACTTTAGTCTTTTTCAAATTTCACATTAAGTCAATCTACTGGTATAGCCCATTAAGATATTTTGTTTTACATTTAGTTTTCTATTATAATTCCCCATTACACTCATGTCATTTGAATATTTGATCATGCTCTTAATATCATCAGTCAAACCAGTAACAAAAATATCAATCAGAGCAAAGCTGTGAATACCCATTTATTAGAAAGTTTTATCTAGGTGGTCATCAAAGCCAAGTACTTAAGAGGTGTTGCAGAAAATCTAACTTGCATCCAATTTGGAGTTTCTTCATGGGGATGTCATGAGGTACCATGTGTATCACTGAAATTCAGAAAGCTGTGCCTGCATTTCTTCTTTTCCCAAGGTCAGGGACCAGGTCTGTCTGGCTAACTGCTGCCTTCCCATTATTTTGCAGAGTGCTTGGTTGGTACAATAGCACACCTTCAATGCATAGTTTTGTTAAAAGAATAAATGGAACAACCAAAGAAAAAAATGTTCTGGCTTAAGTTTTTAAAATGAATCTTTTCTGCTGACCTCTTTCTCTTTTAAAGAATTACAAATATTATCATTTTCTTGGTTTCATAACACTCTGTTTTGTACTTGAAGTTGTCTTTATTTTCTACCTTTTCTTCTGAAGAGAATTGAGCCTGGATTCATTAGTGTTGATGTGGGAAAAATAGCAAATAATAAAGACAAGACTTAAAGGATCAGTAGATTTTAAGGGTTGGTGTAAGGTATAAATAGTTTCCCTATCAATGCAAATCATGCATTAGATAGGTTAAACCTTCAACATACTTCCTTTATGAAGCTATCCCTGAATAAGCACTACCACAGTGCCACAATAATTTCCCCCTCCTTTATTTAACTATAGAATTTTCCCCCAAGCATTATTGAGGTATAATCAATAAATGGAATTGTATATATTTAAGATGTACAACTTGTTTCACACATTGTGAAATGAACATCATAATCAAATTAATTAACATGTCCATCACCTTATATAGTTAACATATTCTTTTTTTTGTGGCGAGAATACTTAAGCTCTATTCTCATAGTAAATTTAAAGTATATAATACATAATTTTTAACTATTGTTATCATGCTGTATATTAGATCTCCAGAACTTGTTTATCTTGCATAACTGAAACTTTGTACCCTTTGACTGACATTTCCCCATTTCTCCCACCTCCCAGACCCTGGCAACCTCCATTCTACTCTCCACTTCTATGAGTGACTATGGAATTTTCACTCCAATCTCACACAATCTAATATTTTTGATTATATGGTTATCTTGCTTTATCATTTAGTTTCATAACCAAAATATCATAACAGCTATAATAATAATAAAAATAACAGCAATAGTAATTTATTGAGACCAATGTAATAAGACAAGGTGCTAAGCACTTTACATAGATCATCTTATTTAAATCTCCTAACACTTTCTGATGTGTATTTTTCTGTCTTTCCTATTTTACCAATAAGGAAATGATGGCTTAGAGGGAGATGTATATCTTGCTCCATAAGTAATTTGTAAATTCTTTGGTACTTTTAGGTTCTTTTTATTATTATAATTTTTATACTCACCTGAGAACAGTTTTTTCTTCCTTGCTTTTAGAGAGAGGGAGAGGGAGAGAGAGAAAGAGAAAGAAAGAGAGAGAGGGAGAGAGAGATGAGAGAGAAACATTGACTGGTTGCCTGTCATACTGGCTTCTACTGAGGACCCAACCCACAACATAGCCATGTGCCCTGACTGGGAATAAAACCTCTGAACTTTTGGTTTATGGGATGACACTCCAACAAACTGTGCAATACTGTTCAGGGCAGGTTATTTTTAAATTACACGATTTTAGTAATTTAGAGTGGGAGCTTTGGAACAACCAAAAAAGGATTCCTTTTTGGCTCCTTCATTTACAAGCTGTGTGAGCTTGGTCAAATTTAAAGTTCTCTGAGTCCTGGTTTTGTTATCTGTACAAGTACAAATAATAATGTATATCTTCCAAGGTTTGTGCAAAAGTTATATAAAATATACACATTGTATTTAACATGGTCTAACATGTGAAGCAAGTGCTTAGTAATTGACAGTTAAGGTTGCTTATTAACCTTATGCAGTGTTGTGGATGTTATGGTGCCATGAGTTGCTCCCAAAATAATAACATAAAAACAAGTAATAATAAAATAATATAAGAGTATATTGTTGGGTGGTATTAAATATTTTTTATCTGAATAAAGGCAAGTCATAAAGGATATATGTTACTGAAATAACTGAAATTACATTATGCAGCCAATATGAATAGTTGGGTTTTTATATTCCATCATCAATATTTCTTTTGTTCTAGAGGAACATACGGACTTGCCTTAAATATATTCCTTTAAAAAACTATATTAACATTTGTTTCACCTACCATTGCATAAATGGACAGTGGTGATTTCAACTTTAGTGAAAATTGGGAAGCTGTTGCCATCCTGATGTATGGAAACATTAGCTTACCTTATTGGTCATTTTCAAATAATTACCTTACTAGTACATTGCACCTAAAGTCAATGAATATTCAAAAATATCATAGTAAGTAGAAATGTTGCCTTTCCATCAGGTTCTCCTTTTTTCATGGTCTTACTAACACAACCATAACAATTGCCTTTTTCTTTTCCTTTCAGGGGACAGAGAAGACGATAATGACAAGAAAGTGGTTGCAGAGATCATGGCAAGATGTTTTATTCCAACTCTAGTCACAGCCACCTCCTGGGAGGAATTTCATTTTGTTGGTCATGAGATTCGAATAACTGAAGCCATGGATTGTTATGGTGCTGTTGTTTGGCCATCGGTATAATTTCATACAAAATTTGCTACATTTCAATTATTTTCAGTCAGTTTTGTTCATTATTTTGTACTATTTGGAAAGACTAAATAGTTTCTATAGTTCTAATTTTTTACCTCAAATAGTAAAACTTAGAAATCATAAAATTTTGAAAATGCTCCCACAATTAATTCTATTTCTGACTTGTAGGATAATTTTTTTAAGTGTTGTTTGTACCTCGAGGGTTATTTTGTGGCCATAAGAGTTTAGAATAGTGAATATTTCATTTCCCATTTAACTGGCTCCATTTGATTTAAACAATTATAATGAAATGTTTAGCAGTGTCAACATGGAGAATATTCTGAAATATTTTCCTTTATTAATTGTCCCACAAAGGGTGCAGACCCCTCACCACTATCTGCTTCAATCCCACACACTTCTTTGAAATGGCTATTATTAGAAATTACTTTCTTTAAAGATAAACCTAAGCAACTGAATTCCATATTTTTAGTTGTCTCTTTTCTCCCCACAGACCCCAAAGACTTTTTCTAGCCTAAATGTTGAGCCATTGGATGATATACTTCTGTTGATAATTTTCTGTAGTGATATGTATATATACACACAAATACACACACATACATATCATAGCATTAGTGGGATATTCATCTAATAGAATTTAATTGTAATTCTGTTAATACTGGCCAAACACTATTTTTTCTTTTCTTTTTTTTTTTTTAAACTTTCATAGGCCCTTGTTCTATGCTATTTTCTGGAAACAAATGTAAAACAGTACAATATGATTGACAAAAATGTGATTGAAATTGGAGCTGGAACAGGGCTAGTTTCCATTGTGGCAAGTTTACTAGGTAAGTAAGTATTTGCGATTGAATGGGGTTTGAAGAATTTAATGATCAAATATCATTATTTGCTTTTACTATCCAGTGCACTATCACCTGGTCCTATTTTTAATTCCTTAATTGTTTGAATGGGCTTCATCAAGAAACTACCAATTTTAAAGTTACCTTACTGGTTTCTTTCAGAATTTTCTGTGAAGTATTAAATCTTCTTATGGAGTGCTAAGTCACAAATGTGTTCTAATTTGGAAGTGCACTTAAGTATCCTGAGTGCTAGAGGAGTGCATGAAATGCTAGGTATACATAGAGTGTACTGCTGCTGACTCTGATGTTTTTTATTTAAATATCAGCTCACTTTAACACTTCTACTTAGCCAAATATTACTTTTGGATTTTGAAGTCCTATGCTTTTGGAAAAAGCCACTGTTAGAATAGAGAATGAGTATTAGAAATCACATAGAAATCATGTCTGCCTCTAATTTTATGTATTTGCCCTTGAATTTATTTTCTCAGTTCATTTTCATTCTTCTTTTGCAATTTTTTATTCTCTCATCAGAATCTTCTTTTTCAACTAGATGCGTGATGGTCTTTATGTATGCCTCAGCCTATTCCAGTTCAGTCTTTTTGTTGTTGTTGCTATATCTTTTATTGCCTTAATTTAGCTGTCTTTTCTGATGTGTGCTACCCAGAGCTATCTTGATTTCCTTGATCTTCAGAAGTGCACACCTGACTACTCTAAAATCTCGAGAAGAATTCAAGATTTAACAATTTACAACTTTCTAAACACTGGAAAAATTTAGGACCATTGAAGTCTTCCATACACATGTTCATGCACACACACACACACACACACACACACACACACACAAATTTCTTTGTCTTGATATTTCTTTCTAAAGTCATAATTCAATTTTGTGCGTAGAGAGCCTAAAGGACTACTGGATTTATAGCTAAAGGATTCCCTACCTAGGAGCAGAATTTGTATCTGGAAAGTCACTTGTTTCATTAAAAAGAAACTATCCTTTCAATATGCTTGTGTATCTGGACACAAATATCAAAAGATGGAAGCTTTCTTTAGTCAGTATTCCAAAACTGGTGGTGTTCAGCACTCTAGACATAAAGATATTAATAGTTAGATATTTTACATTCACTTTATGTACTGTTGTATTCCTTATCTTGGAATTATAAAAAGATTCATTGAAAATGATATCTCACATTGGAGTTGAAGATTCTACCAATGATGTGCCTATTTCCCTTCCCATTTTAACATTTCCCACAAAATACAATTAATAGCCAGAGAAACTTGCCACTGTGGTTATAAAATATGTTCTAAATTGGTATGGGCTAAGCTAGACTTCTCTTCCAATTCTGCTTTTTCATTGCTTACCTGAATCTGTTCTTGTCTAGTGATGTGGAACTGACCAAACCTAGGTTTATTTACAAATTATTTTAAGGCTCTGCTCCTGCTCAAAGTTTACGTTAAGGGCCAAATTTTATTGGTTATTGGTTTCTACAATTTTGCCCCTTCCGATTTCCTCCTGAAAATGACCACCACTATTCATTTTTAACTTGGCAGTAGTTTATATCTTCTTCATCTGAGCATTCTGTTCAAAGATCTGTGATCTTTTGCTGCATGAACACTATATACATGCTGTAGCTAGGTTTTAAACACTTTTTTTGAGGGGAAGACTCACACTTAAAATGGGTCAACCTGAAAACTTGGGTATAAACATGGGTGTCATGATACTTTCAATGTAATGTCATTGGAAAGTCTTCTTTCCTTCCACCACTTCTCATACTTGAGTACTTCCTAGCCAATGATAGGATGTCCAATGTTGTACACTCTTTTTTAGTCTCACAGGAGTGGGGCTCAGAATTCTTTTAAGGAATAACCTGGTCATCTCTCAACAATGACTACTGATTATTCCAGTGATGGTACCAAATATTTAGCATTTCCCTTTCTTTTGATTATTTTTCCCCTAGCATGTAGTAGAAAAATGGAAAATAATGACAGCAACAACAACAAAACAAGAAAACAGAAAAATGCAATGCAGTGCAAAAGTACCTGGAAACCTGATTTTTTTAAAGAGAAGGCATCAAGCCTCCCTAGTATCCCTTTTGAAAGGGATTTCTCCCCTGTGTGTACTGACTGGCTTTTCCTTGGGACTAGCAGTTACGAAAAGTTGTAAAATGCATGTTGGCTTGAAACATGATTGTTTACTTTATCCCATGAGGGTTCTTTTCTTACTGCTCTTTGCTTCACAGGTGCACATGTGACTGCCACAGATTTACCTGAATTACTTGGAAACCTGCAATATAATATTTCCCGAAACACCAAAATGAAATGCAAGCATTTGCCTCAGGTTAAAGAACTCTCTTGGGGCATAGCTTTAGACAAGAACTTCCCTAAGTCTTCCAACAATTTTGACTACATTCTGGCGGCTGATGTTGTCTATGCTCATCCTTTCCTGGAAGAACTTCTCATTACTTTTGACCATCTGTGCAAAGAAACTACCATCATCCTCTGGGTTATGAAATTCAGATTAGAGAAAGAAAATAAATTTGTAGATAGGTTTAAGGAGTTGTTTGACCTGGAGGAGATTTCTAGTTTCCCTAGCCTGAATATTAAGTTGTATAAAGCTATAAAAAAAAATAGAAGGAGTGCATGATATCCTCAAAGGTGGACTTGGAAAGCAAAGGCAGACTTGGAAAGCAAAGGCAATATTAGTAGATTATGACTTTAAAGAAGACCATGGATAATCTGATATAGCATTGACTTTCCCAAAAGGGAACACACACACACACACACACACACAAACACTTTTGTTACACCACAGTTAGGGGTTTTCTGAGATAGTGCATATGGGTCTGGAGGATGGCAAAACCATACTATGTGGTTATTGGTTAGGAAAATGTCTGCTTTCCTTATCCCTCCCTCCATATCACCATTTATTATTATGGTCATTTTAATACATAGTACAATTATTGTTACTTTTAATGTGTGACTATATAATACTGGTTTTTAATAATGACATCTCTAAAATAAATATTCTTATTGTTTTGAACATAAGCTCATATGATTCTCTCCTTAGAAATAAAAAATGGACTATACTGGGATCTGCAAATAAGTCTGAAAAGGCAAATACATAATATAATGGTAAATGTTAGATTATTGTGGTTTTTGTTAGACTGCCAACTTATAGGCAGTCTATCATTTCTTCTTGGCAGGGTGGTCCTCCAGCACAACCTCTGAAATCAATTGAGCTTGTGGATTTGAGGTTATAGGCAAAGACATTTCACTCTAGTAAAGGACAAAGGAGTGGGAGCAAACATAAAAGCAGTTGGGATTTTGTAGGAGTTATTGTCTTATTTTTAAGCCAAATGAAATTATTATTTGTTTTATCACAGAAACGGAAATATAAAAACTTTGAGTTGAGAATACATGTTAAAATGTTTAGGTTCTAATCTCAAATAACCAAAGGTTATTCTCGAAATTTAAAGCTCTTTTAATGAACACATATAGATCTAGATATTTGAAATCCTATGTGATTTTTCATATGGGCCTTAAGAGATTAGAATAAGTCTGAAGTAATTAAAATCAGTGCAAGGAGAGCAAATAAGAATTTTTTGCCACGTAACAAGAGTGTATTGTTGGTAACTACTCTTCAGTGTCCCCTCTAATGTTTGCTAGGCTATCAGTGCCCTTGGGGGATACTTGCTCTCCTATGCTCAGCCCTTCCTGCTTTGCTGGAAGTTCTCAAACCACTTGGGTTGAGTATAGCTAAAAAATTATTTCCTAGGAATCCTGATCTGTAAGCCAGGATGCAAATATGTTCCCAGTGGAATTTTTGGTATGTGCAGTTCATAGGGCCATCTCTTAATAATTCCTAGTATTTATGTGGCTCTTTATAGTTTTCACAGCCTGTTGCAAGCATAATCATTTAATCCTCACAACCCTTCTAAGAAGTATAAGTATTATCCCTACTTCATAGACAAAGAAACTGAGGCTGAGAGGGTGAAGTCACTTGTCCAGGCTATGCAGCTTCAGAGTGGCAGTGATGGGGCACTCAGGCCCTGGATTGTGTGAGTCCAGAGCCTGTTCTTTACCATTGTATTGCTTTTGCTTATTTAAAACAATAATTTTCACTTTTTTAAGTGAGTAAAGTTGTTTCTTCAAAATGAAATCAATATCTAGAAAGGTAATTAAATACATTATGAAATGATGAGAACTGGTCCTTTTTAAATCTTTTCTCTATTCCTGCTTTAACTGGATGGTAAGAGTAGCCCATTTAGAAGGTGACATTTAAGCAAAGCTGGAAATTGGTGAGAAAAGTAGCAGTACAGATATCTGGAGAGGTATGTTCCAGGCAGAAGAATCAGCTATACAAGCACCATAAGGCAGGAGCATGTCAATACTCAAAGTCAGTGTGCTTGGAGCAGGGTGAGCCAGGGAGACTATGGAGGGGCTGGATTGTATTGGATTTTTGCTGCAGTCTGGATACTCTGGAAGCAGACTGAGGCAAAATTTTGTGTGCAGGTCATTTGCTAGAGGTTTCTGTTGGAATCAAAACCTGTGCAAAGGAGCAGAAGCAAGTAGGACAAAAGCAGAGATCAATCTGCAATAAAGGCACAGCTACAGCCTAAGCTGACTCTACCCCCCACATGGAGTACTGGATCTAGAGTGGTCTTTCAGAGGTATCCCAGGTTGGGTTGAGACATTTGGGCCTTGATAACCCCATGTCATTCAGTCACTGGCTTCCCTGAGAAGGCTCTTTGACCTTGGGTGAAGTGATTTGTTTCAGTGGACACAAACCCTGAAGACGTTGACAGCTGCATGCCATCTCTCAGCAGTGAGGTAATAAGTCATTCTGCAGGGGATCTGGGCAGCACATCACAGTGTCCACTACACACTTTAAGGTCATTGGAAGAGCTTTGACTTCTACTCTGGTTCCAAAGGAATTACTGGATGCTTTGGAGTAGAAAAGTGTACCATATCACTATATGTAAGGACCACTCCAAGTGTTGTTTCGAGAGTACTTATCAAGGTCAAACAGACCTGTTAAGAGGCTGTGGCAGCCTTCCAAGCAAGAGAAGATGGCAGTTTCTATCAGGGAATGTGCCTTGGAAGTGGTGAAAATGGTCAGTTTTAGATGTGTTTGGAAATTAGAGCCAATAGAACTTCCTACCATATTGAATATGAGTTTGAGGAGAGAGGAGTCAAGGCTGACTCTTCAGTGTTTGATCAGAGCTCCTAGACATAACGTCACAGGCATAAACTTAGAGATGGTAAAGCTCATTCAGGGAGCAAGAGTGAATACACAGAGAAAAAAGCAATGACTGAGTCCTGAGGTTGCCTAACAATAAGAAATCAGACATATCTCTATCCCAGATATTTTTAAAGATTCTCTTCCCCCACTCCTACCAAAAGTTGTATTAGTACCTGTTAACTCTGAGAGATGTATTTGCTACCACAGTGATTTTTGAACTGGTCAGTAGAGGTCCAAGATTCCTCAGAGCTACTTCAAATGCTTTTAAGAGTGTTTTAGGCGCAGCAGCAGGAATCTTGGAGTAACAAGTAAAAGGATGGCTCCTCTCCTAAAAATGTTTGACTATCACTACTAAGCTATTTTTAGGTAGAATAAAGTGTTCTTACTTCAAAAACTGTGTTAGGAACAAACCAGCCATATGGTTCATAATAGTTTTTCTTTCTCTGTGTTAATTTGTCAAACACAGTGTTGAATATCCATTGTTTTATTCTGTTTATAGCATTCACTTGCAAATTTTAACCCCCAGTCACTCACATTGTACCTCTCCTGGTTCACTTCATTCTGTCATTCTTTTTGCTGTAGTTTCTCCACTCTTTTCTATATTCAATTTTACAATAATTTAATTTTAAAAGATATAATTTGGGTATACTTTTCCCATCTTACAGCTTTTCTTTTATGACTAGGAATTGATTTGCCAACTTTAATCCAGAAGAGTTTTACTGCGAACTTTGCCTTTATCTGACTTTTTCTTAAATTAAATTATGTTACCGAAACCTTGATTCAATTTTTGCAGCAACTTTCTGGGTTTCTAAAAGAATAAACATACTGACTATAGACGTTTAAATAGAAGTTATCACAGTATTGTTATTGCTCTAGAGCAGACATTCTAACTTGTTGGTGATACTCTGCAGCTTAAAATTTACATGTTGCATACATGTAACATGGATTTTTGTGGCTCATAGTGTATCAACTGACTTTACGAAACTAAGTACTATCTTAGAATTGAATTCTTCTGTCTTAGAATTTATTGATACATTCTATTTTATTTGTATCAACTTTGTCTACCAGATTAAAAAAAATTGTTTTCAAAACTTCTGGCCAAGATGGAGACGTAGGTAGAAACACTGTGCCTCCTTGCACAACCAAAAGAATGACAACAAATTTAAAAACAAAAACCAACCAGAACTGACAGGAAATTGAACTGTATAGAAGTCTGACAACCAAGGAGTTAAAGAAGAAACATCCATCCAGACTGGTAGGAGGGGCGGAGACAGGTAGTGGGCGGAGAGGACTCGTGGCAAAGCAGCAGCTGGAGGATGGGGCTGGCCAAGCTTCAGCTGGTGGGCAAGATGGTGGCTGGTGGACTAGGTGGTCCCACATTCGTGTGCAGATAAACCAGGAGGAACAACTAGGGAGCGAGATAGACCACAAAACCCATAATTTCAACTTGGGGAAATAAAGCCTCAAACCTCTGATTAAAAACACCTGTGGAGGTTGATACAGCAGTGGGAGAAATTCCCAGCCTCACAGGAGAGTTTACTGGAGAGACCCATGGGGTCCTAGAATATATACAAGCCCACCTACCCCGGAATCAGAACCAGAAGGGCCCACTTTGCTTGTGGGCAGTGGGGGAAGTGACTGAAAGTCATCAGAGAGCAGAGCAAGCAGTACTGTTCCCTCTCAGACCCCTTCCCCATATACAGCATCACAACGCAGCAACATGGGTTGCCCCGCCCTGGCAAACACCTAAGGCTTGGCCCCTTACTACATAACAGGCATGCTGAGAGGAAAAAAAAATGGCCCAAATAAAAGAACAGATCAAAGCTCCAGAAAAAATACAACTAAGCGATGAAGAGGTAGCCAACCTATCAGATGCACAGTTCAAAACACTGGTAATTGGGATGCTCACAGAATTGGTTGAATATGATTGCAAATTAGATGAAAAAATGAAGTCTACACTAAGTGAAATAAATGAAAATGTACAGGGAACCAACAGTGACAGGAAGGAAACTGGGACTCAAATCAACAGTTTGGAGCAGAAGGAAGAAAGGAACATTCAGCCAGAAAAGAATAAAGAAACAAGAATTCAAAAAAATGAAGAGAGGCTTAGAAACCTCCAGGATATCTTTAAACATTCCAACATCCAAATCATAGTATAACAGGGTGCAGCCAAGAGGGGGGCCCCAAATAGGGATTTGGAATGGGGTCCAGAATTCAAGGTGTCCAGGTGATTTTAAGATGTCCTCACCCCCAACCCCCAAGTGTGGGTTGGGGGAAGGGACAAATGGAGCAGGGCCATTGAGAGCTGTTTCACATAGCAACAGCCTTGCAGCTACCCTCTGGCATGGTCATTTAACATATGTATAGCCTTTGACTGGTTACATAGATTTGTTAAATAGCTGTGACCATGCTCTGAGCCAGGGGAATGGAAGTAACTTCCCCACCAAGATGTAACTGCGGGGCAGGTCCCCTGAGTTATAATACCTGTGTGGGAGCTTGGAGATGATTGTCTCCTGCCCAGACTCATAATGGCAGTCCAGTAAAGCTGGAAGGATATGAGTTCTGGCATGTGAGGCCAAGTGTGGGAGGAGTCGGAAATGGGGCTGCAGAGGAAGATTGGCACGGGGATTTAAACCCAGACACAGCAGCCATTGAGGAGACAACCACCTGGGTTTGGCAGAGTGAGGACTCCCGCAGCCCTGAGAGAGAGAATCACTACTTGGCTTTGGCAGATTGGTGACTCTCCCCCCCTCCCTGTAGCTTTGTGGGGAGAACCACGTGGTTTTGGCTGAGTGGGGACTCCCGTGGCCCTGGGAGAGAGGACCATGCGGCTGGAGCAGAGATCCCAGCAACACAGCTGAGGGTGCCGGGAACCCAGAGTACTGACTGGGAATAACCAGAGGACTGCCTGAACCATGGACTTCTATTTCCTTTCCTGAGATACGGTACTCTGGACAAAAGCAAAGGGGGAAGGAAGGACTGTGTCTGTTTGTGTGTTTTTTAGGGTCTTTAGGATTTTGATGAAGACATTAGGTCACTACTTTAAGTTTGTATAGCATTAAATAAACATTTCTTTTCCTTTTCATGAATCTCTGGCATTGAGAGATGTCTTTCCTCTGGCGGCAGACATAATGGACCTGGGGGCTTCTTTCAGTAATAGTATATCATCCCAAGGCCCCCCTTGTTGTGTTCTGTAACAATAGAGGTACCAGAAGGAGAAGAGGAAAAGCAAAAAATTGAAAACTTATTTGAACAAATAATATAGGAGAACTTCCCCAATCTGGCAAAGGAAATACACTGCTAGGAAGTCCAGGAAGCTCAGAGAGTCCCAAAGAAGTTGGACCCAAGGAGGAACACACCAAGGCACATCATAATTACATTTGCCAAGATGAAAAATAAGGAGAGAATCTTAAAAGCAGCAAGAAAAAAAGGGGACAATTACCTACAAAAGAGTACCCATAAAGACTGTCAGCTGATTTCTCAAAAGAAACTTTGCAGGCAAGAAGGGGCTGGAAAGAAGTATTTGAAGTCATGGAAGGTAAGGACCTACATCCAAGATTACTCTATTCAGCAAAACTATCATTTAGAATGGAGGGATAGATAAAGTGCTCCCCAGATAAGGTCAAGGTAAAGGAGTTCATCATCACCAAGCTCTTATTATACAAAATATTAAAGGGACTTACCTAAGAAAAAGAAGATAAAAAATATGAACAGTAAAATGACAACAAACTTACAGTTAGTAACAACTACACCTAAAAACAAAAACAAAAATAAACTAGGCAAACAACTGGAACAGGAACAGAATCACAAACATGGAGATCACATGGAGGATTATCAGTGGGGGAGTAGGTGGGGAGAGGGGGAAAAGGTGCAGAGAAGAGACTATGTAGCATAAATGGTAGGTAGAAGATAGACAGGGGGAGGTTAAGAATAGTATAGGAAATGTAGAAGCCAAAGAACTTATATGTATGACCCATGGACATGAACTAAAGGGGGGGAATGTGGGTGGGAGGGGCTGTGCAGGGCAGAGGGGAATAAAAGGGGGATAATGGGACAACTGTAATAGCATAATCAAAATATATTTTTAAAAATAAAACAAATTGTTTTCATTATTTATATATATTTGGTTCCTTTTTTTGGATAAAGAATTGTGGCATTGGGTAGTTTCCTAACAGATTTGGAGCCATTAGTGTAAACTCATTATTGTGAAAGAAAAAAAGTGAGGAAACATGATAGAATGGGATGTTCCTTTTATTTTTTCTTTTAAATCTTCAGATTCCAGGAGCTTGGTTTTCTCTGTGAATGCCCCATGCCTTGTCTTTATAGACAGACTATGTCCAATTTATTTTAAGCAGTGCCACTAGCATGTAAGCAGATAAGTAATTTCTGACTATCCTTTGGAAATAAAATATGTCCACTGGGTAGGATTTTGATGTATGAATTTTGAAAACAAGCTAGGACCTTCGGTTCTACAAATACAAGATTAAGTTAACCTTAAGGAGATCAGCTAAGTAAGAAAATTGATAAACTAAGAAGAAAATTAATATACTATACCTCTTTGATTCCACTTTAACTTATTTTTCAAGGAAATTTACATTTGGAGAAAGTAAAAATTGTCAAATATGTGCACTTTTCCACCAAATTATAACATAATAATCAGAAATGAAATTGGGAACAGAACAGGAAAATACTTCTGCAAAATGTAGGGGAATGTGGCAAAACAAAATTTAAAAGCCATAAATATTTGTGATTGTGTTTGTGCCTGGAAATCATTTTTTGTATTATTTATGAAGGCAGGAAATAGTTCACAAATGATTTTTACATCCAGGCTCCTGTATTTTTGAGTTTCTCATGTGAAATTAAGTCTAGAATATTGGCCTGCAAGCTCATTTTCAATATTTGCTTTGTTTCCAAGTTCCACACAAAATCAAAGACAATATTCTGTATAATTGTGTGGTTATATTAATGGGACAGTTATGTCTTTGGTGACTTAGTTAGAATCAATTAATTTTGTGGTCATTCTGGGGGGATCCAAAAAACCTGGAATTATCTTCTGGAGGTTGGGTCCCTTGTAGTACAGGCTTCCTCTGCTAGGTGAGTGTTCTAGGAACCCATCTTTATCAGTGTATGAGCTGGCATTGTGAGAAGCTGTGTTCAGCTGTGAAATTTTTTTGAAGACCCTTTCAACACACTTACCCATTTCATAATGGGTGATTTACAAACAC